ATAAATTAAGTTAATCATATCAGTATGTGCAGTATATTTGCCAACTGTGCCAGTTCACAGACGTGCTAAGTGGCGAGGGCGGGGGCGGGGGCGGTGTGGCGACTCGCTCTGAAGCTGCGTTGCGCTGCTGTGGGCGAACGCGTTCGAAATGTGTGAAATTTCACAACTTGAACTCAAGATAACAACAAAAGCCACACAAACAATCAGAATAATAAGTACACTAGCCAACAACAATGGGGAAGAGATATGTATCTGGATACTCTATTATTCAATTTACAAATACTAGCTTCTAGGAAAATCAAATTTTTAAGGCTTTTCTATTGGTATAGTCAAATAGTTGATTATATTTATAAAAAATGTAATTATCTGTAGTTTACAAATTAATATTATAATAAATAAATATTATAATAAATTATATTTATAATAAATTATATTTATAATAAATTATTCTTATAATAAATTTGTTTGTATAAACATTTGACTGATTTAGGTTTAAGTAAATGGAATGGAATGTCTAATATAAACTTTGACTCTTAATAAATAAATATATATATTCTCTCCTTAATCTCGTATTCTATTAAATTTTTTTTGGAAATTTCTCATTTTTGTTTTGTGTTGCATTCGTAAACGTTTCGCCATCCACTGCAAATCATGAAGACTGTCAAGAAAATATCCAAGCAAAAAGTATTCTGTGACCTAAACCTATTCAGTAAAAACAGGATAGACTATATTAGATAGACTATATATTATCATTTTCCCATTTTGTTGCATAGTGTAAGCGTACAGTGTAACCACTGCAAACGCAAATATTTTCTATGTGTGCGTGTGGTTATTTTTTTGACGTGTTGAACATCAAGGTTAAAGCTCAATGTGGCCGACCTGAAAGAGCAATATACTCACATATACCTATAATATATACAAAGATATACATATGTACATATGTATGTCTATGCATATATGCATAAAATAGCTTTGTGCACTTGAGTTTTGTATAGTTCCCCAGTTCAGACAGCTGTCGAAACGGTTTCATATGCAGATTAGCTAAGCTAAACAAACCTCACATTATAATAGGTTTAGTGCGGATTCCAAATATGAATCAGAGCCGAATATGCCAACTAGGAACAGCTGATACAACGCAGAAATGTCTGGAAATGCTGTGTGGCCAAGGAAATTGAAGCGGTTAAAACTAATCAAACTTGATTGGAAAACATATTTTATGTGCATTTGATATATGCAAGATAAGCCTAAAACAAACAATAAAAGCCGTCTTATATCCAAAGTCGTAAAGTTTTTCAAAATAATTTCTATTTTTTGCCACCTGCCAGCTGATTGCACACCTTTCCTTTTAGGTACAGCAATTTCCCATTAGTTTTGCTCTCAATTTTGCTTTCAGTTACATTTTTTTTTTAGGCAATTAGCAAAGGCAGAAAACAAAAGTTGAAGAGCAAAATGGAAAGGTGTACACATTTTAGTTACTGTGCCTAATTAGCTAATATATATGTATGTAAAGGGCCGCGTCGAGTCGGGGTGGAGTTGGACAGAGAACATTGTTCGGCTGACCAACAATTTATGCGACAATTGAATTGGGGCCACAAAAAAAAAAACAGAACGGCAAAAAAAAAAAAAAAACAAAGAGAGAGAGTACGAAAATGGCAAACGAATTGCTGAATTATTAAACAATCGAATCAGAAGAAGCAGAGGAATAAAGAAATGAGCAGCGAAACAACAACAATTAAAAACGCCAACGAAGCAGTGCAAAAGTCAAACAAAGAAGAAAAAGCAGCAACAACAATTATCGCAACAATGTCGAAAGAGAGTGAGTACTCATGGATACGCGGATAGACTCGTACTCACACTCATACTCCTATTCATACGTATTTAAACATTAATTGCCTTGTAACAAAGTGTGGCGAGAGAGTGAGAGAGAGAGAGCAGGAGAGGGAGGGGAGAGGCGGGAAGGCAGACAGTTTGTCGTTGTTCGCTTTCGAAATGCAAGACCCGCATGGAAATGACGTGCAGCTGGTTTAGAGCGTGCATAATAAAGTGACAAAAAGAACAAAGAAGAAGAAGAACCAGAGAAGAACAATAGAGAGAAGAGCGCGCGGGTGCCTAGCTAAGTGTGTGAGTGTGTGTGAGTGCTTCGCTACACTGAAAATTAATATTGCTAGAGTGAGGGAGAGCGAGAGAGGGAGAGAGAGCGCGCGTGACTGCGTGCACGTATGTGTGTGTGTGTGAAGTATTGAGCGCCGCGCTCCACTGGGAAGATGGATCATAACAGACTCTTACTAAATGACCAGGCAAAACGGACAAACGACAAACGAATTATGTTAAAGCTAACAATTAAAAATTAACCAGTAGTTAGTGTTGCTTAATTAACAAGATAAACAAAGCGGGCCAATGCCAAGCCAACAGCGCAACAGACAGCGACGAAACAAGGAGTAAAAGATGGCAAAAGTGGGAGTAGCCAGGGGGGGGAATGGGGAGCTATTTGGCCGCCTTGGTCATTTTATATGGGTTTTGCATGTTGCGCTGCGCAGACATTTAAATTGTTGCAAACCTCTTGCCTCCGCATGTAATTAGCTAAAATGCAGCGAACTGTTCGCAGAATACAGTTTAGCCCCTCAGGGTTACGTTGGGTTAGTTTTGCTTGGATTGGGTTACTGCATTGCGGAATGTATGTATATACCATGTAGTATATAAATAAGGTGAATGAACTCAATTAAATTAATCAAAATGATGAAAACGTATAAATAACAATTTAATGCAATTAAACAAATACTTGAACTAAATATTTTACTTTTAAGTCCAGAACTGCATTACAAATTTATTTTTTACTTTATTTTATTCACTTATTAATTTTTTTATTATAAATTATAATAGCTTTTAATATATGTATATACATTCATATTAATTTTTAAAACACATATAATTTTTTTTTATACTCATTTTTAAGATTATATTTCTTTTTATTCAATTCTCAGAGATCTCAACTTTTTCAGGGCACTTTCAATTTTTTACTTCTAGTTTCAACTCGAATATAATCAACGATGGAACGATTCCTAAGTATTTTATATAACTTTTTGTTGCCTATCAGGGCTGAAAAAATATCTTTATTTGATTGGAGCCGTCTATCAAATATAAATCAGAGTACATCAAAGATAAGTCAATGCCGCAAAGGAAAGCCAGCAAAGAGAATCTATGAGATAAATGACTTTGTGATTTTCGTTTAATTTAATGTTAGGTATTAAATTCGTATCAATTAATTAGACGATCAGTCAAAGTGATATCTGGAAATAGAAACACTGAGAAATAACTTTTTCTCTCGCTTCGTTACACCGCTTATAAGAACTGAAATCAGTTAAAGTATTATCAGAGTAGCTCCATTCAAAAGCAGCTCAGCTGCGCCACCTACATACATAAAATGTCAACCTAAGATGTATATAGATACATATATACGTTCTGTATTCCATTGTTGTTTATCAAGAAATCAATTTGAAACGTTTTCAACTTCCGACGTGAAAAAATTTCAATTTATTATCGTCTCACAGATTGGAATTGGGATGGGAGATATGAAATAGTAGAACAGAGAGACTGGGACAGAGACATAGAGCGAGGGAGAGAGGGTGTAGCACGAATTTGATTTGATTTAGTTTAGTTCAAGATACGCACCATTTATCTAGTTGATCTCATTTAAAACGGGTCTCAGTAGCCGAAAAAAAATACGAAAATTCAATTTATCCAAATGAAAGCGAAGCTCTGTTTTTTCTTCTTCTTGCTTTTTGTATCTTTTAGTTGTGTGTTATATACATATGTATGTTTCGTTGTATCTGAGTTATGTTCACTAGTCACATCGGCACTTGCAAATATTTTGCATAACAGATTCACACTGATTTCACCTTATTCATATTATTTCTTCTCTTTTTATTTTTTGTTGACCGGTTTTACGGTTGCTATTTCATAATATGCACATTTAAAAATATTGATATTTATAACAAAATTGCGAAACGCCTTTTGTTATACGGGATTTGATGTATTTACATATAGATATATACATAAATATATATTCATCTGATGGTATTTCCGAGTAATACGTTAATTTATGACGTCTGGGTCGGGCTATATGTAGAACACGATCGAAGCGCGTCTTCAGTTCGACGAATTCGAACGAAATGACAACGTGAAGCGACGACGACGACGACGACGACGACGACGACGACGAAACACGCTGATGAATCAGTAAAAACAAAGAAAACAAAAAGCCCCAAAGGAAGCAGGAAAATATATATATAAAAACAAGAATTGTTTTGAGGCACACAATATCGAGTAGCGAGCACCAGGTAAAAAGACGCGTGTATCTGACAGATACTCTCCCAGTGCAATCCAAATCGAACGCAGCGCAACGTACGCAACGCAAAAAAAAACCGAACCGCACGCTTCAACGGCAAATTTTACAATACAAACAACAACAGCTGTTAAGTTTTTTCCGTGTATTATATTTTTGTGTGGTGCTTACAGAGCTGTTATACTCAAAATGGCTAAAGTGCTCACAATGTTAGCTGCAACTGTTAACATTTGCGCTCACTGTTAACACTCGCTAAGAGATCACGAGTGGAATCGTGTTGAGTGCAACTAGGGCTAGCTTCGGCTAGCGCTAAGCATGAGTCACAGTGGTCTGCTCGAATGCCAGTTAGCAGTTCGCGTGAGTGAAAGAGTGAGCGAGAGCTAGCGCTTGAGCTAACAGTTGTTAGTGCTTGTGAGGTCTATTGAGCGCACAGCGCTGAATGCGAAGAGTGGGAGAGCGTGAAAGAGAGATAAGCAAAAGTAGCTGTTAAGAGAGCTGCAATAACATTATACTAGCAGCAACAACAAAAACAATATCAAGTACGGCAGCTGCTTATTGTTTGCACCCGCAAGATGCATTTGTATCTTTTGGATATTCTCGTAATGCTACGATTCCAAACGTGTTTCACTTCATTTGTTTACTCGTGTAATGTGTAGGTAAACAAATGCTAACAAACAATTAGGCGGCACCTATCAATTAGCAGGTAATTAAGTGCTCTTAAGGAAATCAAAAGAAAGAATACCACAAACTGTGGCAAAGGGTAATGCACTGCGCACAGAAGCCGACACAAAACAAACTGACCAACTAGCTTATTAGTTTTTACAGCAACTCCAATAGGAGCGACAACAAGTGCAGCAAAGCAAAACAAACGCGTCAATAGACGAGGCGTCTAGACCTAAGAAAAGACAAGAGACAGTGGAGATAGAGAATGAGTGAGTGAACGAGAAAGAGAGGCAGACACAAGTGACCCAGTGTCCACTGGGTTCTTATCGTTGGCTGCTTAATTACACGCAACTCTAGAGGCAGACAAAGACGTAGACAGAGAGAAAGAGACAGAGAGAGACATGAGACATGAAGGGCACAACACAAACAACGCATCGTTGCCATCGCAACCAACAACAAAGCTCAAGAACGTTTAATCAATGACCTGTCCAGGGGTCGCGCTCTGTGGGAGGGTGAAAGGCAGTCGATGCCAGCGTTTAATGGCACGCATTTTGTTTGATATTTATGGAAATTTGATAAGCCCAGCCAAGGCAAAACACTTTTATTGCATTCAATTCCCATTTCATATGCCATAATTAACAATAAACAAATAGATACAAGCTACCGAAACTCGAGAAAATCGAAAACACAGTGAAAACATATCTATAATTGCTTATCTATGCCATAAACAGTTTATAATGTTCTTTAGAAGCTTTGACATATTCTAAAGCTACATTTTAATCGTACATTATTAATATTCAAGTTAATTAAAAGCCGATGCTAAACGGAGAGTTAAGCATTCGAGTCAGGCCTTTCATTTATCGCTGTTTCATTTTATTTTTAATTTTCTCAGAAGTCTTCCAGAATAAGTATATTCATAATAGAGCGACTAAGTCAGCACTTGCAGTTCCAATGCCCATTTATAAACAAATTTTCTCTTGTGAATAAAAGGAAAACATAGATCATTTCAAATACAAATATTGATCGTAAAAGCTGTAAACACAACGGTTTACCAGGCGTGGGAAAGGGGTGGTGTATGTAGACAAATCAAGTGATCGCATAACATACACTGAGAGAAAAGAAATATATAATTTGTATATTAAATTATGAATTTACTATATGAAGTATATACATACATACATATATGTGAGGCAAAACAAATATAGCTTCAAATATATTGTAGATACAAGATAATATGTCCAATTCTTCATTTCAATGACAGCTTTTCTCTGACTGTAAACATTTTGAAATAATGGAGCCCACAGCAATTGATGATATCTTATACAACATGGGCCATAAACATATATTCTGATTCAGATACATTTCGAATACGCAATGAATATTTGAGAAGACGACCCGCACAGGCATACGCACGCATACGACACACATATGGTTGAAATAAATAATAAATAAAAATACAAATGTATATGTACATATGTACAATATTTTGTGACAAGGGTTAGGCGACAGCGAACGCTCGTAGCATGCCACTTAAATTGCAATCAGAAGCAAAATTGATTCAAATTTGATACATAAACAAGAGCAAGCGAAGGGGACACAAGCAGACGATACGTGATTGCATTAGAAGAGCATGTGCGTGCGATAAGGATAGCGCTATACTTGAGAACAACTCGCCGCGCTCCATTCAACTTGTCCAATTGGGACGCTGCTCAAAAGTGCCAAAAAAGAAACGAAAAGAAGCTTCTGAGTGCAATCACAGAAAGCTTAAATAATTTTCGGCAAACTGTGAGAGCGCACAAATTCAAAATGGCCGTCGATCGGCAAAAGCCTTTGCGTTGTATTCTGTTAATGAAGCTTATGAGCAGCAGCGTCAGCAGCGGTAGCAGCCGCCGCAGCAGCAGCGCGTGCACGTCACAAGTCACTGAGCCGCAGCAGCAACACAAACAAACAATAGCAGCAATATCAACAAGCGCAGCATAAGTGAAGCGCATACAGGGAGAGAGCAAAAGAGAGCACGAACCGCAATCAAAAACAAAAGGAGAGCAGGCACGAACCTCAGTCGGTGGCTGCACCTGTAGGTAGCATATTGCACACACAAACAAACACACACACTCCCCTTCTCGCTCTCTCTCTCTCTTCCCCTCCCACTCACACCCTCGCACACTACACAAAAGCAAAGCACAGTTACGCTCAGGCTGACTGCTGTGGGGTTCATTAATGACGACGGCTCGACACGTTTGAGCGATCACCACCAACAGACATACAAAGTCAAAAAGCCAAAGCGAGGATTCAGATACCCTATACTTAGCTTTAAGCCGCCTTGATACTAAGAATTGGCCTCATGGATTTTACTGTTTACTGAATTTTTCAAATATACAAAATTAATCAACAAATTTACTATAATTTTTATAACGCAAAGTTTGATGTATTTGCGTGTTATGTAAAAAGTTCAATATACCCCTTTCTGACAGGTACAGGGTATGATACAGATACAACTATTTTATTATTAACATTAAAACGCATATTTTGTTGGCCACGAATTGAACAAAAATGGCGCGAGCTGCCCCGTTGCCGTTGCAGCGGTTTGATATCGCACAACAACAGCAGCAACAACAAGAACAGTAATTTCCGCGCAAACGCAACCGACGCAGAGAGAGAGCGAGGCAGACAGATTGGGGAAGGCGCATGGGTGAGACAAGTGCAGAGACGCAACGCAAGCCAAGCAGAACGCACAGTATAAAACAGATAATAATAAATTATAAAAAGGCAGATACGGCACGATCAATGGCTGCACCAAGCTTTGCCTCCTACCCCACAACCGCATCCAACATCCAACATTAATACCGCAAGTCTACCCAGAGCCACCCCTTAGCATGCAGCGGAAATGCTCAATTATGCTATTCAAGAACAAAGAGAGCGACCACAATGGGAGATGATATCGCATGTGAGAGAGAGAGAGTTAAGGAAGGATAGAAAATGAAAGCTCAACTTACCTTTTGACTGAACGCCGACGCAGCGGCAGCAGCGGCTGCTGCCTCCTTGGCAACGCCGACGCCATCTGCTGAAATGGCGTGCGTCGACGGCGACGTTGCGTAGACGAACAACGGCAAAGAGTTAAAGTTACGTAAAAAGCTAGCACCGTCTACGTTGCCAGCGGACGCATCCTTAAAACGCCGGCAGAACAGTAACTGTTTATTACAAGCGGCAGCCGACGCCAGCAGAGGCAACAGTGAGGGTGTTGGCGTTGGCCGCGCAGCTGCCTTTGACATTGCATCAGTGGTTGACGCCTGCAGCGATGAAGAGGGCGACGCCGCAGCTGACGGCAACGATGGTTGTTGTGGTTGCTCCTCTGATGTTCTTGTTCTTGTTGTACTAGCCGACGCCATTGGCGTATCGCAATTTTCTTCCTCTTCTTCTTCAGTGGATTTTACTGCTGTTGTTGTTGTTGTTGGCATGGCTGCGCGTACTATAAAACAAAGCTGGCGTTGCTGCTGCACGCTTTGCAGTGGGCGTGGACGTAGGCGTACAGCTGCGAACGTCCTTTGTTGTTATGGCTCGTGTGATGTGTGAAGACGATGGTCCCGCTTTCAACAACTGGGTGCCGCCGCATGTTGCAAAGACTTACGCATAGAAATGACCTCTAACTAAATTATCTTCACACACACAAATATACGCACATACTGTCGCACGCACACTGACAATCACACTCACAAACGCACACACGAGCACTTTGTCGCTTCGCAAATCGGCAGCAACAACAACTGAAAAAATTCTAACTGCAGCCGTTTTTATTATTTGATCGTTCAAGAAACGTTTTATTGCTTTGAGACGTGCAAAACTGACGCGTTGCGTTTGCTAAATAATTGACCGAATTGATTTATTCATGTGAAGTTTGCTTGCTAATTTCCTTTTTTTGTTTAAATTTGCAGACAGTTAAGTGTGGCCGAACTTCACAAGCGGCAATATCTGCAAATAATGTACCATACGATGTGAACAATCTGGTAGCACTGTTGTCCCACGTACAATTTTAAATAATACCAAAATATACTTTTTTATATACCAACAGCTGGGCAGTGCAAGATTTCTACTCAAATTTTCAAACAGAGTAGCTGTTCAAACTTTAGCAAATACATAGGACAACTCCGTCAAAATTCATCAGTAAAAACATTCCGGCAGCAAGCAACACGTTGTGTGCTCATAGAAACAATTAATTAACAGCATTTAGTGCGCGCAGACAGAAAACGCAGCGGACATACACAATTGCGTCGCAGCCGGTTTAAACAGTTTTTGTTGGTTGGAATTTTCAATGTGCCTTCGTTTAAAGTTCTGACGCTGATTTTCGATTACTAAATTTTCCAAACACACACACGACGTCCCTTTTCCATTTTCCACCTTAGACATCTTAGACTCGTGTTGTTATTTGCTGCTGCTGTCGCAAAAAGTAAGTAAATAATTTATTTAAAATATAAATTGTATATGTCCAATTATTGTCATGGCGAGTTGCCACATAGATTAAATAGTCTTTTTCCCTCTCTTTGCAGATAATATCGATCTGGCCAGACAGTTACCTGCATGACATAGATAGCTGTGCTGTTCTCTTGATGAGTGTTGAAAATTATCGTACACTTTCCAACACCTAGACACGTAACACCCTAAAGTCGTCTCTGTCACACACGCGCACTTTGAAACGTCGTTCACTTCGTCCGCTGTTATTCATCGTGTCGGTCTCACTCACATCCGTTCGTCGCTTAAAGCAGCAAAAATATCGTAGCCGTAGTTGTCGTCGGGGCGCCGTTCTACTCGCAGTGCTGCAATATTTCTAGACTGTAACCTCGGAGAAAAGCTGAGCAGAAAATAGCCAGAACACAGTGAAAATATAAAGCCTACCGCAGCTTTTGTGTTTCGTTTGGTTTTTTCTATAGCATTTTTCAATTGTTAATAAATTTCTCGCTTTGTGTAATTCGAAAAAGAACAAAAAGTAATCGAAAAGCAAAGAGAAACGTACAACTAATACACTCTCACCAACACAACACCACACACACAAGAAAATCAAATTTCAATCAGAAAATGGCGTTAAAAAGAATCAATAAGGTATGTGAAAAAACGATAAAAATAATGAAATCAAATTGTACAAATCATTTACGCATTAGTATGCATTTCAAAAGTGTGTAAAAGTTTGAATATGTAGCAAAAAAAAAAAAAACCAACAAAAATATGTGAATAGAAATTTCTTGTGTGACAAAAAATTTATGCAAGAAATGTGAAACGTAGGAACGACAACGGCAATGTACAAAGAAAAGAAAGACAAAAAAAAAAAAATGAACCGAACCGAATACGTGAGCGAAAGAAAACGTGCAAAAAGCAAAAGAAGCATAAGGAAAAATGG